GTAAAAAAAATTCGTTTTATTTTTTTTCATGTCCAAAGACCATTCTTTGAAAGCGTTTCTCCTTTTCTTCTCTAGGCATGTGCTCTGTGATCAGGTAAAGTGCAGTTTCGCTCATCACATTGCTTACTTATACTTTATAAAGAAAGAGATGAAAACATATATGTTAGAAAGAGAAACACAACTATAGAAGACTAGTAGAAGCGTGTGACATGTCGATTCTTAATGCTATTCAGGATGGACTATTTTCCCGAGATGTGTGGACAAACTGTCGAAAGATGAATCGCAATTTTTCAGCGTAAAATTCATGCCACAATTCGCATTTTACCCTTAATTTGAGAATTCGCAGCGAATTGATGCGAACTGTATCGAATTCCCACGGATACTCTTAAAACCTTTTACGAACTCATTTTGCGGCTTCGTAAACAAGAGAATAGATCAAACCCGATGCTCATCAATTCTCCAATAATTCGTAAAAACAGTTTACCAATGTCCGTTCAGTGCTTCTAGAACTAGATCACTTCGTAAACACGAATTAGCGAATTCGTGTTACGAACTGATCTAGCGATAATAGATCCACGAATCCGCAAACTAAAATCCCATAGTTCTCATATCAACCCGGGTTAATTTTACGAATTCGTAAAACCCGAACTAGGTCAAGCACAAAAGAAATTTCTTAGAGCACAAACGTAGATGAATTCGCCTCTTCACATCGATTCGCAGACTTCTCAAATCAATTCGCCGTTATTGGTACGAATTCGTAAAATACCAATTGATGTCATGAAACAGAGACATTTCTCTGAGGTCAGAAATAGATAGATTCGTCTCTTCTCATCGATTCGCATATTTCGCATATCAATTCGCAGTTATTTGTACGAATTCCTAAAATACGAATTGATGTCAAGGCGAGGAGACATTTCTGTAGTGTTTCATTACTACGATCAACGATGCTTAATCACTACCTCAGGTAGTGATTAAGCCCCTCATGTATTACACACGTTTAACCTACTGCTTTGTTTATTCAATCCGTTTGATGACTGATGACTGATACATAATAAAATATTATGACTGGTCACTGACAAAAAGTCAAAAATGGCCAAGGACCAAAGAAAATACCATTCATTATTGGGAATGAAACTATTCATTAAATCCTGAACTAATAACGAATTAAACGATGAAAATAGTACAAGATAAAATCGATGTAATTGAACATCTAAAGTATTATTCACTACAAAATAATTTGCAACAGCAATTATATTAAAGCAAATGATATAGACACTGACATCGTCTAAAAATGGTAATAGAGTAGAAAATAAATGCGTTAGATAATAAAATGAAGATATTGAATAGATAATTAGAAGAACATGTTGCCTAACAGGAAATTGTACCGCATACAGATGAGTAAATAATCGCGTAATTAAAAATGTAATAATAAACGGGTAAATCAATTTTAAATCGAATTTTAAGTGCGGTAGGTAGTCGGCACATATTCTACTCGCGTTAAAGTGTATTAATTCCAAGTTAACCAAACCTAAAGACACAAGTCCAGAATAATACATGATCGTAAATGTCAATTCATACGAAATCTCCCATGTTGGTAGAAATAACGATACCTATCGACTATATTTTTTGTACAGACGGACTATCAGCTGAGTGGAAAGCAATGCTAGTAGAATAGGAAATATATGTATTCCCTTGACTGAAACTTAGGATCTTACAACCAAAAATGTCTGCCTTTATGTATGCGTCTGTCCACGGAGTAGTTGTTCGGGGCAAAGCGATTTTCGATCGTTTTTTTCGAAACGAACGTCGATCGAAGAGTTTAGAAATTGGTTTTAATGATTCCCAGGTCCATGTTTTCGATAGCAGTTATGACCGCCGTAAACGGCCATAAATGTTGAAATACGTCGATTTACGGCGCCGTATACGGTGAAATACAGCACGTAAATGACCGTAATTTGATCTTAAATGTGGCAGCAGTAATATGTGCCGTATTTCACCGTATATAGCGCCGTAAATCGACATATTTCACCATTTACGGCCGTATACGGCCTGAGCTATCCGACCTGGGTTCAAACAGTTAAAAAAATGTTTTTAAACCGAAAATTCAATTGCTACATCAGTGTGTAAGTCAACAGAAGAGAACGTGCTGTAATTACAATAATTAGTCAGTATGGGTTAAGATATGCTCGGACTGAGCGCTGAAATTTTTATTCTTTCATTAGACTGGAAAAGATCAATCAGTCATGATCCAATATCGCCGACCTCGCCTGTTGATCTTGAATCAAATATTCGATACATTCTGGATTTAATTAACTCAAAGTCTTTAGAAGTTCCTGAATTTAAAACAGATGATTATGTGCAGTTAGCAAACGCGGCACGCTGTGTATTGGACCCGAAAAATTGTTAAAATTTTTAACCGAAAATAATTGTAATGATTCCAATTTCGTTTTCATGTTAGTGGAAAATTTTACCACAACCATTGATGATTTAGCAGATTTATTAATACGTGAAAATCAAACTGATGGCATACCACCTATTATTTTTAAGCGTCTAAAAGCTAAACTAGAATGTCGTGGAAAATTATTAACATTAGGTTTTATAAACGAAAATGCCTTATTGGACAAGATTACAATGAACTATCCGACATTAGATTCATTCAAATTGATGACTTATAAACAATTAAATGATTATTGTCGTGAAACTACACAAAATGATCACAGAGACATATTAAAGAATCCACAGTGGGCAATTTTGGCTAGGCAGGCGGACATTTGGGTTTAAATGCATCCAATCAACTTAAAACTCAGTAAAAATAGGTTTTTGAGTGTGCTCTTTCGCATGGAATACTTTTCAGAGCAATAG